CCATTTTTAAATTTCGGATTCTGTCTCTCAAAATTACGTGTGCTGAATTAGTGTAAATATTTGTATACCTTACTATTCAAAATTTGTTTGACTATAAATTTAAATATCAAAGCAATCCCGATTTCGCAAATTGCTCTGATCGGACCGTTTTATATAATTCGTTTATATATATTTTATATATTTTGTTTATATAATTCGTGTCTAACTGAAGATTTTGAAGGATAATCAATTAAATCTACTTCGTTTTTAGAACAAGCTATTTTTGCTAAATTATCAGCCTCCTCGTTACCCCTGTGACCAATATGAGCTTTAATCCAGTGAAATTTAACATTTTGTCTATAGTTATCTTTAATCATTTTTGTAAGATAATCATATTCTTTAATATTTAGGGACTGCAAACCTGAAAGGGAATCGGAATATAAATGCACAATTAAATTAATGTTGTTATTATTTATCCAGTAAATAGACTGAAGAATCGCCCAGAGCTCGGCTTTAAATACAGTTGATTGATCGCTCAACCTAAAGCAGTAATGATCGAAATAGTTACCATTTAAATATACGACGAAGGCACAGCCGACTCTGAAGTCGCCTTCATGAATCAAGCGAGACCCGTCTGTATAAATTTGTATTGTTTCATCACTTGGTAAAATGTAATTAAATGGGATAGAAAAATAATCAGCAGGATGTTTAAGTGGAAGTTCTTGTTTAAAATTTATAGAATCCTCATGTAAATAGATATCTGCAAGTTTTGCCTCTGTTTGGATTGTTAAATCTAAAGGTACTGTACCAGCTAAGACCTGAAGGGCCGCTGTAGATGAGGTTCTGTAGGCTTTTGTAAGACTCAAAAGTGGTACACGTTCAATCTTTTTGATTTTATTTAGAGTTCTGACATTATTATTGTACCGGATTGCGGAACCATAAGTGATGATTTTTAAAATAGATGTTTGAAACATATATTTCCTTGTTCTTGGGTCGATTCCCCAGTCAACGCCAGATAGTCGGTAGAGTTTAGCTTGAAAGACAGTAATTTTATCAAAAACTTTTTCTAAATGGGGTAACCAGGAGAGCTGTGTGTTTAAAAGGAACCCAAGGTAATTAATATTAACTTCAATGGGAATGCTAATATTGCAGTGCTTGACGGTTGGTTTCCTGGTATATTTATTTGCTTTTGGAAAGACTATAGCTTTGGGTTTTTGATTACTGAAAGAAAGTCCAAAATGTTTAGCCCAAGACTTTAACTCAGTGGCCCAAGACTAGTCTTAATGTTTTGCCCAAGACTAGTCTTTTAGAACTTCGGTGGCCCAAGGGCCCAGATTATTAAGTATTGTGCCAGTAACCATTAAAAAGCATAGCAGCAATCTGGTAAATATAGTCCCTATAGTTCTGTCAGGAGTGCAGTTGAATAGTTGGGCCTCTTAATATTAATATCATATTTCGCGTATTCCACCATCTCATAGAACTCGTATTTTTAAAATTTCATTTCTTGAAAACTATTCTTCCAATTCCATTTTCAAATTTCGGATTCTGTCTCTCAAAATAACGTATGATGAATCAGTGGAAATATTTGTATATATTACTATTTATAATTTGTTTGACCCTAAATTTAAAAATCGAAACAAACAAATAAATAAATACAAATTTTTTTTCACGGAATTATCATTACATATACAAGTTTTGTGCATGGAAAATAATGTCTTAATTTGGTTTCTTAGTTCCGTTTGCATGGCGAAATACACAGAAGTGAATTTATTATAACGTTGTCCAAATTTTGACCTCCTGATTATACTATTGCGACCATAATTTCTGGATTATGAGTACCCCACATAATTAGAAGAACAAGTTGCATATTTTTTTCCTGGAGGAGAAGTTTTTAAGAAGAAATCTAACGGAAGACACAGGGCATTTATCTACTTTCTACATTAAGATTCTTTAGAGTTCCTAATTGTTATTTTAAACAGAAAAGTTTTTTTTTTTACTTTACTTTTTTGTGATGAATTAGTGAAATGTAGTAGAAACTCTATAATAAGAGTACAAATCTGAGTTACATTCGCAAAATACAAATTTTTTTAAAGAATTTATTAAAGCTAAATAGCCACTTCTTGCATTTAAGACAAGCGAAAAATAAATTAAACGGGGAGCACTTTTTTTCTTACGTTCATACGAGTAATTGATCCTTTCAAATTTGAATGTACTGATTTCAAATTTGAAACTAGTTTTGTTCCGGTAGCTAAAAATTGTTTTCAAAACGATATTTTTAGTTAATTCTTGACTGAACATACCCTTAATTTTCAAGGACCATTTAACTGAAAAGGCATCACTGCTTGCAGAAAAGCATAAGTATTTGACAAGATAAGAATTTCCGTGAAATGCCCCCCTCCCTCGCAATTTGCTTAACAGGTGTTAGCGGGGGTGGAACTATTTCCTCCCGGGATGCAGAAAATCTATGCAATTACTAATGATTCATTTCTTAGGACCTAACAAGAGGTGTAGATTCAGTGGCCATTTAAATAAATTATTGTCAAGTTTGATGGTTGGTCCCCGCTTTCCTGTTATTCATTGACAATAGTCACACATCACTTTATTTCAAAATGAACTCTATTCCTCTGTTAGGCACACATTTTCATTCACTTTCTTTTAAAGAAGATTTCACAATGTTTATTGTTATAACAATAAACATTGTGAAAGAGTCAAAGGTAATGGAGAGAATATGAATACAGTTTTTCATATGTTTATTCTGCTTCTATTCATTATTTGTTTTCATCCAACTTCAAGAAATATTGCCGAATTTCCAAGAATGATTTCATGCAAATAGCTATAATCATTCAGTTCTTATTTTTTGGGTGGTCTTTTGCTCAAACTGCAACTATTTTTCCCTTTGCTAGAAATTTATCCTTACGTCCTCAAATACCTGTGCTCGTTTAATTAAAACAATAATTAAGAATTCATTTAGAGATTAATTTGAAATAAAAATAACTTTCTTTAATTAGACAAAATGAGAGAAAGTTTTAGATTTCTCAAAAAATTAAATAAATATTAATATACATTGTGTTATAAAAAGTATTTATGATTTCAATGATATTTTTTTAAAAAAAACGTGCAATCAATGTTTCTTTCCTTTACTTTTTTTAAAAAATTTATTCGAGTGAGTGTCATAACGGATTTATTTAAACCAGTCAAATCTTTAGATTTAAAAAAAAAAATATTTTTTCGAAATGTTCTGGCGAATTAAGGTCTCACTATGCTTTTAGTTGAAAAATATTTAATTAATTTAGCAATTTGCTTGTTAAGAAATTATTCTTAAATTAGTTTTGCAATTCTCTTGTCACGAAGTTATTCTTAAATTAAATTCGCAATTTTCTTGTGATTAAATTATTCTTGAATTAAGTTTTTTGTTGCGAAATTATTCTTGATTTGAGTTTGATTACTGAAAGATGATGAAAACCATTTTCTTTAAGTTTGGAACAGTTGTATTGTTAATTTTTATATGTATTAATTCCTTCTTACAATATAACTTTAAGCACGAATATTCTGAGTTATCATTACGTAAAATAAAAGCGATAATGATTTTTAAAATGTAGAAAAATAATTAACAATTCAATCATCTGATTTTTTAATAAAATGTAGGATTTCTAGAAAAAGAGAGAAGAGGTACTTGTAATTTTTTTAAATCCATAATTCCGTGTTCTTTCATCAAAATTACTTACACTTTTGGTAGTGTAATATAAATTTAGATTAACTTACTAACATGTTGAAATCTAGACTTCGAAAACTAAACAACTTTCTGAAAAACTGAAGCACTCAAATTTTAATTGGTGCTCTGTGTTGGATTGTAATACAAATTTCCATTGTTTAATGACGCCTACCAGCAAAAGTTATCTTAAAATATAATTTAACATCAAAAGAAATTTCGTCTACAAAGAGTGCTCTAATCTTAATTAGTGATTTATGAATAATGGTGATGTAAGTTGCATCTGTATCTTAAACAATGTAAGCAAAACTTTTCGCTCCAAAATTTTAACCAATTTTTATTCGACATGAAAAATTTTTTTTTTTCAAAGAAATTATCAATTTCTTTGTTTTAGGAATGACAGTCATAGTCTTAGCATTTAAATTTTCTTTTTATCATTGAGTCATGCATTGTAATTATAATACTTTTTCTAAAAAAATTTAAATAGATATTTTTTGCTCATAGATTTTGAATGGAATATTTTTTTGCACCGAATTCATACTTTTCACCAATAACTCCTTTTTTTCAAAATTTGAAAACATGAATTTCTCTAAAATAAGAACACTTTATATAAATTTTTAAAATCAAGAAACGAAATTTATAGTAATTATTTATTAAAAAGAGAGATAGAGAGTTTTTTATTATCTCAAACTGCGCAGTTTTCGGCCAACTAAAACAAGACACATTTTATGTAAAAGGAAGTTCCATTTAAGGACTCAGTAGAAACTTTTCAGCTCGAATTCTGTTTTACCTCCATAACTAATTCAGAATTTGAAGTGTAGAAAAAGTGAGTTCTGGCGAACCTAGAACAAGCCATGAGATTTTAATCTCTGAAAAAAGATTTTCAAAATACCGAAAAGCGAACATATAATTAGAAGAAGACTTTCCCATTGCGTAATCCTAAGTAATATTCTCATAATTTTTTTTTAATTTCGATGTCTTGAAAATATGTTTTCAGTGTTCGAAACTTCATGGCTTACTTTACGTTTGTCTGAACTCACATTTTCTAGATTTTAAATTCTAAATTAGTAATGGAGATGAACTATGAAAAATTTCTTTCTCGGTATAGCCAGGGAATATATAATAGTGAGAATACATAAGAATATATAACCTCACTGATATCTTCTTGGTCCAAGTAGTTTCAATATTATGCTGGCTGAAACGAAAAATATTTGAAATTCACATTCTAATGTGTGCACTGTAATGTCACAGTGTAATGCTAATCATTAAAACATAGGATGATACTTTATGAGATAAGCTTTAACGTGATTTCATCCCCAGTTCTTGTAGAACACTTTTGTCATTGTTCATTGATAACTTATTCACGCGTTGCAATCATAAGGCCTATTATTAAGAAGGGGTTAAGATTGCGTTTAGGGGGGAAGGGTGCAGCTCACTTTTATACTTTTAGAGACAGGTGTGAACCTGATTGGTTAAACATTATAATAGATAAGAGCTATTGTATGATTAATTGATATTCTTGAATATTTGTTATACATCTGAAAAAAGTATTGACCATTTAGTCTTAGAACTTCGTCTAAGAATCATTTCGTGGTGAAGAAAAATATGTTGTAGAAAATTGTGAGCCGTACTTTTGTGTGTGCGTGTGAATTGTGAACTGCGGAAGAATACGAAGATACTTGACGTCTTCTGCCTCTTTGTTTAAAAGGTAAGCACATTTATGAATGTTGAACTGTTTAATATCCTTTTTTAATCTGGTTAACATGAGAATTTCTGAACTATCAGTGAGTTTATCACTTTAAAAATTGAAAACGCTTTTTTCCAGTATAAATCATTTTAATGCCATTGAAGCTATTCAAACTACAATTTGCTGTTCGGTTTAAGGGGTAAATTTTTGCTTTTAATAAATTACGCTACTTTTGAATTGATTTTGGTCGCAGAGTTTTTAACTGAAGCTAAGTTTTAATAAATTTATTTATCTTTTTTTGTTGAATAAATTCTTGCGGTTTATTTTTATATGCATTTCGCTTTATCCTTATAAAAATAGATTTTTTTCATAAAATAGATAATACATATCTAGGTTATATTTCACCTGCGATTTACAATTTCATAAAAAGTAATTTTTAGCGTTTTCAGTTATTTGCCACTTTTATTTAAAATGTTAGGAGACTTTAGAACTTGGTTTCGTTAATTATTTTTTTGAAAATTTAATTTTTTAAAGGGCTATATATTTTTTAGTGCTAATTAAATAGTTCAATTTAATAGTTCAATTAAATAGTTCAATTTAATAATGCAAAGAATACGTCAAATCAAATTTTAATTATTATATACTTTGCTAAAGACATTAAATGATTTTAGTGATTTTTTTTCGAATTTTAATACAATTTTTTTTCATCACTGTCACCGTATGTTAGTAATTTCAGATTTTTTGTTCAGATTCGGTGTATTTTGTTTGAAAGCATTTTTTCTTATTGACTAGTTTTAATTTATTTCTTACATTAAAACAATGATAGATAAGGAATTTTTTAAGACATCATTGCTTGTAGGTATTCCCTCTTTAAGGAATGGACTCGAAATTGGTAATTTTTCGTGTGTGTGCTTCATTATTGACAATAAGATTTATTTCTTCAAAAAAAAAAAAAAGGAATTTTTGAGCAATGTGAAAGTTTTTTTTGAAAATATTAGTTGATATTAAACTTTTTTTTTGTGAAATATGGAAGGACTTGTTAGATCCGATGTTAGTAGCATTGTTTTCTAAATATTTTACGTAAATTTAAAGTTTAAAAATTCAATATTTGAAGTTTTTTGTTTTAAATCATCATCAAAAATAGCACTGCTTTTTGCTAAATTAATCATGTTATTTTTTTCTTCAGAAATATGAAAAAAATTTTTTTTTTTTATAAATACAAATATTTATTACATTCCTTTGAATAAGTTTCCACCATTTAAATTATGAGGCTATTTTATTAATCTGAAATTAACACGTAGAGAGTAATTTTTTATAGGAAGTTTTATTATAAATTTTTAAATAATTTGATAATATTATGTTACAAGTTATGTCTAGTAATGATGAAAAAAAATCACAGCGTAATTGCCTTTTAGTGATGTGACATGATCAAATAAACTTTTGAAAGCTATGTAGTGTTTATCAGGCGTTCCTTTTTCATGCTTGGCGACTGCAATTACTTTATTTTAAGTATATATTTACATATATGATTTGACTAAAATGTATATACTTAATGTAGTATCTGTTATATCTAAGATTTTGATTTATTTATGTACAGACAATATGTAGCATATTATTTCTAGTGGGTTAAATATTCTCATGAGTTAAATAAATCTTAGCTTTATTTAACTCATAAAAATCAGAGGAAGGTGAGCAGATTATGCTTACCAATTAAGCATTTATAAAATCTAGAGTAACAGTTTCGATTCCTTACGTGAGCACACATCTATATGGTTAAATTTGAATTTATCGTCTATTTGTACTTAAATTTATTTGTTCTTAAATTTAAAATTTTATTGATTTGACATTAACATAATTTTTTTTCCATCACTGTTACAGAATGTTAGTAAATTCCAATATTTTGTTCAGATTCGGTATATTTTGCTTGAAGTGAATTTTTTTACTTTCTGATTTTTCTTACATTTTGAAGCGACGCTAGTTAAGGACAATGCTAGTTAAGAGCCGACTTCTTAAATTCCTCTTTTAGAAATTGTTTCGAAATTAAAAACTATTATATAATTTATAAATTTGATACTTTAGTCGTATCCAGGTAGATAGATAAAAAATTAAAGTTACAGTGAAATTAGCTACAATAATTTAAACTTAGCGTTACAGTGCACATTTTTTGTTATTTCTCGTCTGTGTGCTTCATTATTAATGATAGGGTTTATTTCTTCATAATTAAAAAAAACGAATTTTAAGGCAATGTGACACTTTTTTAAAAATATTAGTTGATATTAAACTTTTCCTTCCTTAAAATATGGAAGGAATTTCTCGCGCAGAAATTCCAATGTTAGTACCGTTGTTTTCTACATGTTTTATGCAAATTTAAAGTTTAAAAAAAGTTGATATTTAAATATTTCTTTAAATCATCAACAAATGTCACTACTTTTTGCTAAATTAATCATGTTATTTTCTTCTTAAGAGAAATTAAAAAAATTAAATTTTTTTAAAGTGAACACAACTTCTTATTACTTTGCTTTGAATAAGTTTCCACCTTTTAAATTATGAAACTATTTTATTAATCTAAAATAAACATGTAGAGAGCTACATTAAGAGTTTATCCTTATGGAAATCAAACTGGACAAAATTAAAGAGGTATTACATATTAATAACGTTCCGATAAAAAAGTTTGACTAGATAAAATTAATAAATGGATATTTTTAGTGCTGTAAAATAGTTAATTTCATTAATAATAAAAAACTATGTCAAATAAATTTATAATTATTATATACATTGTTGAATACATTAAAAAATGTCTGGTTTTTACCTAAATTACATAAGATAGCATTCAAAGGAATAGACTTCATTGGAAGAGCCTTGAAATATGTCATTTTATAATTGAATCAATTAATTTAATGAATTAATATAATATAAAATCGCAGAAGAATGAGAATTTTTAAGGGCAATGGAGCTTACTATAGTGAAAATCTGACATTTTTTTTTATAAAACTACTCCATTTAAATTTAAAATACATTATTGTGGAAATTGCGGTAATTACTGAGAGAATAAGTTTGTTTTTAAGAATATGGTAACTACAAGAATATGGTAATATTTGTTCGTGTTTTGAATCTATAGAAACACCAAGAAATACTGGTAATTTCTGCCGAGGAGCTTTAGTAATAATTTTGCTATTGGTCTATCTTAAAATTAAATATTTGGTCTGTTCCATAATATATCAGAAATACAGCTAGGTGTTATTTGATTATTCATTTTCACCAAGATTTATTTCAAAACCAAACAGTCTGTGCAAGAGTTATAGACCGATGGGGCTCGCTAAAGTTAATGTTAATATTGCAGCTAATCAATTTTTAGTACATCTAGGCTAGAATTGAAGGTTATGCGTTAGTTAAAAATAATTTTAAGTTAAAAATGGCGTTAGTTAAAGACGGCGTCGGTTAAAAATAATTGAAATTTGTAAATAAATAATAGAGGAAAATTTTGAATATAATAAATATTATAAATAAATTTAAAACTTTAAATGATGACTAATTTCATAAATTATTAGCCTAATTAGTAATGTGTTAGTAATTAATCAACATTTCGACCTTATTTGCAATTATGAATTTGCTCAGAGCAGAGAAGAATATAATTTAAAAAATAAAATTTTTTTCACCCATTTTTAATTTTACCCCTTCTTTATTTTTAGGTTTTGAATAATACCTTACATCATTGCAGTAGCTCAAGAATTTTTGAAATTCGAAATTCGTATCGTAGAATTATTTTTGAAACACCTAAAAGGATCAATAACATCCAGGACTCAAACACGTTGAAGGCTGGGACAAATGCACCTGCAAGAAATGCCAGTGTTGCAAATAAAAGAAGAATCAAACTCAAACAGAGAGCTCGTGCATGCCGTCCAAGTGAAGGAGACACATCACATAAATCTGTACGAAATAAAGACTTTGGTGGTTTTGAGGATTGCGCTCTGTGTTTAAACATGGAATTTGACTGGCCACATCTCTTGCCATGTGGGCATATTTTTCACAACGTGTGTGTATCCAATTGGTTAAAACGCAATAATACTTGCCCTGTATGTTTTCAAAATTGGGAAAATCAAGTTCATACCAATCAAGTGCCTAACTCTCATTCTAATGATGACATGCATGGAAATCCTATACCTGACGCTTTGGCTACGAGAGTACATATGCCTTCCTCCCGAATTAATGATACTTCAGAATTGGATACCTGTAGGTCAGCAGATAGAGTTCGTAGTGTACTCAGAGGACGAGTTAAAAAGTCTATTCACCGCAGAAGAAAAGTTCGAGCCCTGCAGTCGGTTGAACAATTGGCACTTAATAAGGAAATACTGGATAGTGTCGTTCTGAATAACAGTGTTCCAGTATGTGGTGTCTCTGACGTGCTGTCACCTGATGAACCACAGTCCAGTGATCCTGATATCATAATTGATGGTGAATTCATATTAATTGATTGTACTGATTCTATTGCCATTTTTGAGGGAGATGTAATATAAGACAATGTAGAGTTTGAGAGTCTCATTGAAAGTGTTTAAAAATTATTTTAACGAATAGCTCACCTATGATTTGTGTATTATCAAAAATATTTTTTTTTCAAATTGTACAGTTATTTTTTTAATATTTACATTTAATTTTTGACATTAAGCTATGAGTAATTTTTATTCTGTATTACTTTTATATGATTGTAGATGAAATTCATACTATTGTTTTAATCAAATAAAAAAAAAATGTCAACGCTAATTTGTAAAAGAATATTTATTTTTTATTTTGATAAACTAATTGTAAAT